ACAAACTAATTCTATTGCAGAAAGTACTGAATTAACTGCTAATACAATTCCACTTAAAAATACTTTTAGAACTCCATTGATCATTTGTTTGAATCCTTCCCAAACTTTAGACATATCTCCTTCCAATAAGCCTTGTATAATTTTAATTAAGCCGTCAAATAATTGTTTGAAACCTGTAATCTTTCCATCAATAAATTTCCATATGCTTTCAAATTGCTTAACTATTGTGTCATAAAGATAACCCAAATCATCCCCTAAAAATTGATGTATATTCTCGCTTTGACCTTGTAACCATCCTAATATTTCTTCTGCTTTGCCTTTGATTTTATCCCAATTCTTAATTACTTGTGATGCAATTAATAATGATGCACCTGCTAATGCAAATTCCCAACTACCTAATGCCATTCCTAATCCAAGAAATACAAATCCTAAATTTTGTATTATATTTCCAAAATTATTCCAAGAAGGATCATCTATATACTCTTTGATTGATTTAATTGTTTCTAATACTCCATAAAGAGTAACTCCAATTCCTAATGATTGCAGAGGGGAGAATCCAAATTTAACTGCTAATAAACCGGCTCCAATTCCTAATAATAGACTTTTAATCGTACCGCCATTATCTTTGATCCATTTTAACCAACTCGGTACTTCTGCATCTTTTAATGTTTCTGCTACATCTAATGATGGTAAATCAATAGATGCACCACCAATACCACCGCTATCAGTCCCACCATTTTCATTTAACACATTCATTTCATCAAAACCTTCAAGCTGATTTTTTAATTCCTTAGCTTGTTTAGTCATTCCACCTAGATTGTTTTTAGCTTGTTTAAATTTGTCTGCACTGGCATTTGCAAATAGATTGACTCCAAACCACGCTTGTGCAATATAATTAACATATTGTAATATTTTCAATAATAATTGTGATACCCATTGCAATACCGGAGCTAATGCTTGTGCTAATACAAATCTTGTATATTCTAGGTCTACTGCATATTGTTTATTATATTGAGCTAATGTTGAAGATGCCCTTGTTAATAAAGAATATGCACCTCTGATAGAAAACATTGCTAAGCCCCAACGAACGACACTTTTTAATAATGATTTCATTCCGTCATTAGCTTTTGTAATTGATTCTTTTACATTTTCAATACCTTTTGACTCTTGCATTTTTCTATTAGTTTCTTCAACTTTTTTAGTTAACATTTGTTGTTCTTGTTTATTTCCAATTAGTTTTTGATTTATTTCTTCTAATTCTTTTTTTTGCGCACTTTGTTTTTCAATATGCTTTTGCAATGTAGCATCATATTTTGTAGCCTCATTCATCATATTGTCATAATCCTGGCTCATTTGTTTTATTTGTTCTGTTAATTCTAATGTTCTATCAATTTGATTGGCATCTTTTGATATACTTTCTTTTTCGGTTTTTAATTCTTCTAATTTTCTTTTTTGTTCATCAATTTTAGCATTTATTTCAGCAAATTTCTTTTTTTCTTCTTCTAATGCTGAAAGATCAGTTTCAATCTTTGCTTTTTGCTTTAATAATTTTTCATTTTCTGTCTGTGATTTTTTTAGATCACTTTCTAAAGTTTTTAAATCTTTAGACAATTCTGTATTATCTAATTTTGTTCCAATGGTGATCCACCCATCCATTTTAGCACCTCCTGTCTAATTCAATCCTGCTAACTGATTGAATTTTTCAATGCTTTGTTTTTGCTTTTGTGTTAATTGTTTTGTGTTTCGTTTCAATTCTACTCTTTTCTTCATTTCCTCCATTTTTTGTCTTTCTTTAGAATCTTTAATTTTAGATGTATCATAATTTCTTATTTGTCTTACTCTTGATAATATGCAACAACTTCCGAATTCACTATTCGAAAGGTTTGCTAAATCATTGTAAAAGTCATACCAATGTAAATACTCTAAATCATAAGGATTGTATTTATAATCATATTTGAAAGAAGACTTGATATATCCCTCATCTTCTACTAAATCCATATCAACTTCATCATTTTTATTATCGCTCAATCCTTGTCCTAAAGTTAGATACTTTATTCCTAATTGTATAAGCTCATTTAACTCCATATTGGCATTTAAGCCTTTTTCTCCAAAAAGAAGATAAATTATAGCCAATGCCCTCTCATAATCGTTTATTCTGGAATCTCGTGAAATTCTGTCACATTCAATTGCTACCCTAAAATCTGTATTTATTTCATACACATTATTATTTTTTGTTTTCACTTTAGTTGGATTCATTTTCTATCACATCTTTTTCTGTAAATTTTTTTCCATAAGTGCTTTTGATTTTATCTTTAATGTCAATTGCTCTGCTTTCAATCATAGGCATAATTGGTTTGATAATTTCTGCAATATCTTCAAACATAGAAATATAAGGTTTTCTACCATTTAAGATTTTTTGTGTTCCACCTTCTCCAAGGAATAAATCTAATGCAATAATTTCATTTTTATAGAATTCATTAATTAATTTTAATTTCTCTTCTTCTTTCCAAGATAACAATTTTTTTCCTTTTTTATCTTGCTTTTTTTCTAATATATTCATTTGATTTCTTAAATTCATAACATTTCTATTATGTATATCTTCACATTGATTTATTCTTAATGTTAATTCTACATCTTCTAAGTCGAATTCTAAATGATTCCCTGTATCTTTACCTTCTGCATCTTTTATGCCTATTCTTAAAATATTGTCTTTCTTTAATTGTATAAAATTTTCCATTTTTAACCATCCTTTCTAAATTTAAAAAAAGAGGTAATGAGGCTTTGTATAACCCCATTACCTCTAAAAGTTACGCATCCACAACGAATGTTGGTTTTTGATCAGCAAATGTTACTGATCCTACTTCAGAATCTCCGTTGTAATAAATATCATACTCAATTACTGCATCTTCGTTCATGTAATTTGTTATTGCAATCATTACATTAGATTTTGTTGCTTTATATCTTCCATCAGATGTTTCATCATATCTGTCAATGTCAATTACTGATGTTTCAACTTTTGAACCTATTGCAGTTGTTAATCTTAATTTATTAACAAATTCAAATATTGGATCGCCTTTGTAACATTTTTGAGAAACACTACCTTGTTTTTGATAACTATCTAATGTAGTTGTAGCATTTCTATTTATAATCCATTTTTCAGTTGTTGTCTGTGGATTGAAAGATACTCCATAAGAAGTAATACCTACTCCTAATAATTCGTAGTTTTCGCTAACTTGTTCTGGAGTTGTATTGATATATGTTACAAACTGATCTCTTGTTATTTTCTCTAAGCTCATCTATTCTTCCCCCTTTTTTATTAGGTTTCTTTTTATTGTTTCTATTTCTTTTCTAGTTAGTGGCTGAATTAAACCTTTTTCATTCAACTTAATAATATCATTAAATTGAATATTTGAAAGCTCTTCGCCTTCAAAATAATCTATTCCATTTAATGAGAAATCTTTTTTAACAATTATTTTATTATTCATTTTAATTCGCCCCCTAACTTAAATATTTAATTCTTAATTGTATATTAAATTCAGCAGTATTGTCATCAATTGAATTTAATGTTCCACAATTTAAACATTCAATTGATTCAATTTGATTTATATGTGGCAATATGCCTTTTTTGTTTTTAGAATTTATTTCTTCTTCAAACTTTTCGAAAAACTTTATATTATTCAAATTATTGATTGTATCTTGTGAATAAGATTTTCTACTACGAAATAAAAATGTATCTTGATGTAATTCAATTCCATTTATCCATTTTTCAACGATACTAGAATTAGGAATCTTATCTAATGAGAAAACTCCTGTATTAATATCTAGATTATTTGCATTAATTGTTGAATCATTATTTTGTAGTAACTCATCTAATAAACTTATCAAATATAATCTTAATTCTTCAATTCTAGAACTTTCCATATTAAATTCCCCTCTTTATTGCATTCTCAACATCTTCAATTAATTCATTAATTTCAGCAGTTACCATTTTACGATCCCAATAAGTTCCTGTTCCTGGAGTTGTATAATTTTTTACTACATGTGTTCCATCTCGACGCATTCCGTGATACTGATAATTTGCATAAATACTTTGATATGTAATACTATCACTTTTCACATCAGTTGTAGTCCCTTAATGGTGTATCTCGCATAGGCACATATTTATCCATTCTTTTAAGGCAATCTTCTGTAAAGAATGCTTGGATTCTTCCATTAGGTTCAATTCCTAATCTCTTTACAATTTTTTCAGTAGGGATTAAATGTACTTCTCCCATTAATGTGCCTCTAAATATAAATGTTTATTTATACCATAATTATTTACATCAATAGTTGAAATAGAAAAAACTTTCAATTTTATTATTTATATTATTATTAAATTCAACTATATCTCCAATTTTTGGTATATCTAAGTTTGTATTTCCTTTAAATGGAATTCTGATTTTAACAAAATTATTTGATGCTATTCCATTTTTTTCAATGCTTGAATTTTTTACAAAGATCCAGGCATTATATAAATAAGGTGTATATTCTTCAAGTCTTGTTTCGTTATTTATTGTTTTATGTAAAATTCTAATTCTTGTATTTGTTATCATAACCATACACCTCTGTATAAATAAGGAATATTGTCTTCAGTTCTACAATTTATTAAATAATCAAATATAATGTTTTGTATATCTTCATTGAATGTTTTATTATTTGTATCTGCTTTATATGTTACTGAATAACCATCAATACTTTCACTAGCAATTAATTTGCTTTCTTCAACATTTTGTTGATTCTCTAATAATTTAATCAATTCATACATACATAATTTTACATTCTCATTTTGATTATTTAACTTTTGAAGTCTTCCTAAAGTTTCTCGATCTATTATTTGTCTAGCTTTAAATTCTAATATATTAAAAGGCATTTTTTCTGATTTGCCACCAAAATTCAAATACTCTTTCATATAATAAATATTGATTTTCCATCTTCTAAATGCCTCCTTTTTTAAAATCAAATTATATACTTGCTACTGGTTTGATAGATGCAAATGGGAATCTTGTTGCAGTATCATTCTCAGCATTTACAGGATTTGGGATCTCCCATCCTAATCTGATAACTACTCTTAATGCTACCATATCATCTTGTGCTAAATTATATAGAATCTCTCCTGTTGTTGGATCTTGAATAGTTGCTTGATCTAATATTTTGTATGTAATATCTTGTCTAATTGAATATACGGCTTGTGAAAAATCTCCAACTATCATTGTTGATTTTGTTTTGTCCCATGCTCCATTATCCATAAATGTTTTATTTAATGAATCAATTTCAGTTCCTTTAATTGGTTGACCATTTTTGTCAACTAACATTCTGAATTTTCCTTTTAGTCCAACGCCACCTAATGCACCTGTTACATTATATCCTGACTCTTCTACTTTAACCATTGCGTCATTAATGTCTGAATAGAAGTCACCTGTTTCGTTAACTTCTGCACCTGCATTAATGATTGAAGGAATTAATCCTGCTCTCCATGTAGCTGGTTTTCCAGCTCCATTGAATATCGCATCATCTATTTTCCTTTCCGATAGCTTCTACAAGTCTTGGTTTAGCTTCAGCCCATACATCAATAGATGTATCATTAATACATTCTCTTTGATTGGAACGATAACTGCTAATTCTTCAGCATTGATATATTTCTTATCCCAAGCAATTTTTGTTAAATTCTTTCTTCCATTATTTTCTGTTTCATCAACAAAATAAACAACTGGTAAAGAATCTAATATTCTTAATTTTGTTTTGTCACTTGTCATATTTGGTAATCTTTTAAACATTGAAAGTGCTTTTGATTCTCTAACTACACCTTCAAAAATCTCATTAGCAACTTGTGTCTCAATTAATGCATCTACATCATTTCTTGTTATTTTAACATCTGACATTGTATTTTCCTCCTCGATTAACGATTCCTCAATAATGAGTTCATAATATCATTAGTAGTTGTTGCTTTATTTCCATTATTTAAGTTTGGACTTGTTTGAACTTTTTTAACTACTTTTTCTGTAAAATATTGGGGATTCTCGTTTTTATATATTTTTAATGCCTCATCAAAAGTCAATTCATCATTTTCTTGCATAAGATCTGTAACCTCATTTACTACGAATTTTTTAAATTGATTTTGCACATTGGCTTCTTCTAACTTTTGACTTGTATACATATTTGTAATTTGTCTAGTTAGATCTTGGTTAACTTGTTCTAATTCAGCTATCCTATTGCTATTAGCTTCTGCATTCTTTTTCCATTGGAGAAATTCCTTGTATTGTTCATCTTTCTGCCATCCAGTAGATGCTTTACGAACTCCTGCATTGAATGAATTTTGAATGTCCTCTTCAGTATAGGTTTTTTTCTTTTTTTACTTCTTCAACATTGTTTTCGACATTTGAATCTTCAACAATATTGTTTTCAATATTTTCTTCCATAATTGCTCCTTTCTTTTAAGTCATAAAGTTAGACTTTTCCATTTTTTTATTGTTGTTATGTTCAACTATTTTTTACCTACTAGTACTACAATATTATATTACCAAAAATACATTTTTATTGCAATATAAAATTATATGTGATATCCAATAACTCTCATCCTGTCCATTCTAGGCTTAATATTTGCCTTTTTAGACATTAATTTGTATAGAGTTGTATATTTACTTATTTTCTGTGACTTTCAATCATATTTTGCTTGTCTTCACTTGCTTTTGCTAAGATATATAATTCTTTTTGTTCTTTACTTTTTGTTCTAATTTTCTTTGCATTTGAGTGACTTGATATTTTGTATAAGTTTGTCCATTTAATTCTACACCTTAGTACTCTGCGTTGATACCACTGCTTTAATTCTTCTTTTGAATATTCTGGCTTATTAACTCCAATTATTATAGGGAATATATAATGCTTACAATTCCACATTCCAATTGGTCTTTCGATTGCATCAAAATAATTTCCATCTATATCATAAGAAAAATGATTGCTTTGTAATTTTTCAAATTCTTTATTTGTAAATTGATGTCCTTGCATAGGCTCGTGATCTTCTGCTGAATTAATATGTACTGAAATTTCAACACCATCTGAATCGAATTCTTTTCCAAATTCTTTTTGCAATTCATTATTCATTGTAACAATTCTTTCAAGAATATTTTGCCTTAACATTGAATCTAATCTTCTAACTTCATTCTTGCCATTCATAACTCTTAAATTTCCGCTTCCTATTTCCTTTATAGATTTATAAAGTTGGCTCGTAAATGAATCTTGCCCTAATTCAATTGATAAAACTGCTTTATCTACAATCTCTGAATATAATTCTTTGATATTAACAAATGTTTTTTTACCTTCTGAATTTGTTACAAAATATCCTATTGCACTTGATTTAACAATTTTCTTATATTCTTCTGTTGCTAATTTACCGAATGCTTTAACTCGATTCTGTAATGATATATTCTGATTATATGGTATATAGTCAACTCCTCTATAATCATAAAATTGTTTTGCAAAATAATAATTCTCTTTTGCTACATTTTCAAATATAGATTCTATTTCATTAATGTTTAAGCCTGTTATTCTTGCAAGTTCTTTTTCTATTTCTTCATAAGATCCACCATATTTCAACATATTTGCCAATTGAATTATGTTAGTGTCTGAAATAGTTTTTATAGCTTTAATGTTTTTTCCAATTTTCTCTAATATGTAGGTATTTAATTGAGTTATTCTATCTACTAATACATCTGTCATATTTTCAATTGTTTCATAACTTAACACGACACCACCTCATTATTTTTTAATATTTATTGGTTTTGTATCTTCATTTGATTCTTTATTCAATTTTTCAAAATCTTCATTCTCAATTAAATCTTCTTCTAATTCTTTTAATTTTTGTTTTGCTATATCTGGTGTTTCTCCAAATATTTTTTGTCTATATTCTTCTTTGCTAATTAATCCTAATGAAACTTCTTGCATTGCCCTTGTTGATTCTGATTGCTTATCCTCGACAATTGAATCATCAAATTTAATAACAAAATTCTCAAAATTAATATTATACTTACCAAATTTTGTTGATGCATAACATATAGATTTTACTAGATCAAATATAGCTGATTCATAACCTATCTCTAACTTCTTTTTTCTTCTGAACATTTTAGAATTTGAAGAAATTACGGCAGTTGCAGTTGCAAAAGTTTGTCCATTAAAATGGTAATGATTTTCTCCAAAACCTACTTTATTCCCTAAAATATTCAAGTTTGTATTTAATGTTTCTATCTGTTGTGCAGTTCTCAAATTCTCACTATCATTTTGAATAAGATCGTTTTTGTCTGCTCCTTTTGGTAGCACATAAATATCTGTGTCATTAGGATCAAACACCAATCTTTGTTCTCCTGAATCATAACTCATCATATCTGACCTTACGAATGTCCTTCTTCTTCCATCAACCAACTCATTTTTTAAAGAATCAAAAGCAATATCAACTGCCTTTAGATTATCAATTGCATTTGCAAAGTGTGGTATTCCAAAAGGTGAATTATCAAATAAATTATTTGTTAATAATGGCTTGAATACACTAAACCATTTAATGTTTGATTGTGTATCAAATTCACTTAATGTATTGTCATTTTGAATCTCTGTTAAATTTCCATTTGTATCTAAGAATATATGATTGTAAATAATATAATTTCCTTTATCATTTAACTTATGGACTGATAACACTACATATTTTTTGCCTTCAATATATTCTACACTACCAAAAGCGCATTCAGTTATTTCTTTATTATTCCAACTTAATGGAAAGATCCAATTTATATTTACATTGTTAGTTCTAGTTTTTGCTTCACTGACATCTAATATTACTTCATCATCACTTTGTTTTATATTATAAACTGATGTCACTATTGCATCTGTTCCTAATGCTCCACTTTTTTCAATACTAGAATTAATGATAGAATATAAATCTAATTCATCTACTAATTTATCAAATTCATCTTGTGATTTTTCATCATCAAAAGAAATTTGACATTTTTCACTCCAAATAATATCAGCCCAATCTTCGCTTATTTCTTTTGCCATATTCATAGTGAATCTTTTTTTATTTACTTTTCTTTGTCCATTATAGATAAAATAATTATGAAATTTTCTTACGTTTCCATCATACCAACTTTTCCAGTACTCTGCGTTGATACCACTGCTT